CTTCATGCATCCCCTTTGTCCATTGGTTCTTCCTTCAACCGCCAATTTTCAAAAAGGAAGAAACAAAAGGCTTTAATGAGGATGAGACCCTTTAGTGTTTCAAAACCCATCATCACCATCGCCGGCCTATCACTACCGGCTCCATCAATCCAAACACCACTCTCACGCCCCTCATCACCATCGCTTCCCACYCATCATCACACTCCCAAAAACCCCAAACCATCTCACTCACTCACTGTGTACGAATTCCATGGCTCGACCGAAAAGGCTAGTCCTACGCGACCCTCCCCCACCGCCGGTACGAAGAAGAAACCGCCGGCGGGCTTGCACCATCGYCGCTCGACGAACCGGAGAACCAGACACGGTTGACCTAGTCRCCGACGGTTCCCCTTCGCCATMTCCTCCCTCGTCACCRCTGCCWCCGGTCGACACCCCCTTCRTYGCAAACCCTTCTCAAGCAAACCATACGCCATCGCCTCCACCATCACTARCCACTRTTGCATCAYACTCACCGCCGTCCACTGCCGATTCACCACCAAGGACACGGCGACCACCCAAGAAATATCCATTCCTCAATATCATCTACCCGCGTGCATCTCCGCCCGCTGTCACTCCTTCGCCACCACCATCCCTCTCGCTCGCAGACGCCACTCCGACCATCATCACAGCAGGTGCCAACCCTAAACTGGGTCCTGAGGTAAATCTCAATTTTAGCCCTAACTCCTTTTTAGATGGCCTTACAACCTCCGATTCCTCTATGGAGGTAGATGATTTCACGKCCATCTCATCMCCACCACCYACTAGTTTCAATAAACCCAAAGTCTATCTTTTGACTTGGTATGATCAGTCTTGCACCCACTTACCTGAGCACACTGTAGTCAGCAACACTACTCCTCACACTGTGGCTGAGAACATTGGGTTTCAATCTTTAGAAACTGATAACTGTGAACAATCTGTTGAAAACCCTTTGGAGTTTGACATGGGTACACGRTCGGTTGAGGAAGCAAACAGARAGTTACCTACCATGGCAATGGACTTAGAAGCTGATCTTAGGGGTAGGACTTCTGTACCCACTAAGAAAAGAAAAGGTCTAGGGAGAGTATTTGCAAGGAAATCCAAACCCAWGGACAGACGGCCTTCGAGAAAAAGGACCAACCAAACTCCGACATCTTTGGAACCACCACGCAAATCATCCCGAAAGGGATCCTTCACCCAAACCGAAACAGCAGGCCCATCTGGATTCCAATCCACCCCCAGACCCACAACCATCGCACGACCCCAGCTGCCTTTTGAGGGGTTTAGTTCCAATAAGGCAMGAGATGTTTTTGCAAAATTTAAAAATAAAAAAGTGTTGCCTGACAAAGGATTTGATCATCGAAGCATTCAGGAGTTTGAGTTTATACGTGAAGTCATAGAAAAGCAAGGTTGGCACACATTGTGTGAAGTCAAAAACTCA